TATATATATGTTCCGACTGTCTTCATAGAAATATTGGGCTTTCGGTTCGTATTTACAGCAATATAGACTTTGATGAGTTTTCTCAAACGACAGAAATTGCACAGTAGTTAAAGAATCCAAGATCACCATTTTCAAAAATATTTTACACACATAGTAAACAGTCAGTCTTCAAGATGCAGTATGAAATTGCACATTGTTGTCATGCCACAGGGGGGGCTGTTTCAAGGCTTTGGTACACATCGTCCTGATTGGAAGAAAAAGCTCTGCTTTCGGGGTCGGTTTCCCCCCCGGCGACCCTCCGACGCCGTGGCGGCAGGGTGGTGACGGGCGATGAGGCCGCAGCGAGGTACGGCTTCGCCGCCGCCCGTTCCTGGGATCAAACTAGCCAATCAGAGAGCCGGATGACTACAGTACACTTTCAGGATTGGGGGAAGACTCTTGGCACTTGAATCACAGGTGCAGGTCCGTGCTGGATGACCAATGGATCACCATATGCAGCCGTGTTGGGACATTTTTTTTTTTAAGGAGACGAGGATGGGTGGAGGTAAAGGGTCACACACTGGCGTATCAAAACATTTCAAAGACTCCTTTCGGATGCAAAACATGAGCGGACTCTGTGCTGTTACTGTAAATACTGATTCGCTGAACACTAGAGAGAATTTGGCATTAAGAGCAGCTTCTTCTCAGATTTGTTGATTAGACCAATCCAATCCAAGCGTGTTTGATTTTCAGAGGCAGGAAGAGAAAACACGGACAATTGCAACCACTTTTCCCGACGCAATAAGAATGTCTTCACATCGACTTCAGATCAGTGAGGATGTTTGTCTCTCGTTACGAAGGAAAACAGATTCATGTAAAGGACAAGGCTGGTCAAATTTAGATTTTTCAAATGAATGTATCCTAATAAACAAGTATTGTGTGTGTAGCCTTATGTCTTTTATATAATTAGACTGTAAACAAGAAGTGGATGTAGTCGTTGTGACATCACTCATTGGTTTGTTGACTGATGTTTTGAAGCCTCGAGTTTGACGATTCGGCCGTCGCCATCTTGGCTTTTTGCAACCACTGAACAGGAAGTGACCATATTAGGAGGAGTGACGTAGAGACGGCGTATACGTCTCTGGTGGAGATCTGTCAATCACTGTGTAGCCCCGCCCTAAAGCATCCCCTGCTTTATGGTCTGTGTGACTCTAAATGGACCATAATGTACTAAATGAACATCATGCTGTATTGAAGAAGACTTGAAACTAGAGATTGAGACCATAAACTCATGTTTACAATGTGAGAGTCATATCATTTCTTTGAAATTATATTTTAAAGTGTTTAAAGTGTTTAAAGTGTTACATTTTTATTTCCCAACAAAAGATGTTGGATAATACTGAATTATTTTAACTAAGTTTTTTGGTTAAAAACTGCGACATTTTAAGATGTTTATTGTTAACATATCCTTAAAAACTAGCTTGAACAAGAACTATGGTGCTACAAAACAGAGTAATGTTAAAGTCAGGAGGAAGGCCGGCGTGCTTTTGTCTTTACTGTCGAGCTCTGCTGCTGTGTTTCTTCTGTCTTTAACGAGGATTAAATACGCATTAACAGACCGACACGCTCAGGAAACATGGCTGCAATTCATCACGAGTTTCTCAACAGTTTGGGCCCTTGCGACGCCTCCGGCCCTCAAGGTGAGGCCTTTCACAGGCACTGTGAAGGAAGTCCTCACAAAGAAAGTGCAACCAAGTACCTTGGGCTGTTACTGATAAAGGCAACATTTGTGTGATAATAAACTCCTGGACAAAAAAAGAAAAGAGAAAAGAGGAGTACGGGGTAAAAACACACATGCTTGTTGGTAGAAAACACTCATGGAAAAAGGGTAGTTGGCACAGTCCATTTGGTCACTAATTAAAACTTCTTTGTGGCTAAGTCTTCTGCTCCTCTGACAATGTCGTATGTAAATCCTGCGTTACATGGAGGAGTCTTTCCAAAACGGAGAAGCCTTTCTTACAAGCATCCAACAGGTTCTGGTTCAGAGTCAGGAAAAAAGGAGGTGGGGGGGTAGGACGCTAGAAAACTGGAGTATTGACAGCGCCGATGTGTTTCGCAGTGTGTGTGTGTGTGTGTGTGTTTTCATGCACCCGAGCTCTGAAGAACTGGAGGGGGGGAGTGGACTCAAGGATGTGTTGACAGTGCGATCAAACTCACAAGCATGCAGACAAATCCACATGTCTGAACGGACACCATGGGCATTCCATGTGAAGGGAAAATGTAAACAGATCGAGGGCCGAGCTCCAGAGCCGAGCCACCGCGTCCAGCCTCGACCTCCAGCCCCGACCTCCAGCCCCGACCTCCAGCCCCGACCTCCAGCCCCGACCTCCAGCCCCGACCTCCAGCCCCGACCTCCAGCCCCGACCTCCAGGGGCCTTCACCTGGGCAGGGAGGAGACCTGGACTCCCCGGACCCGACTCTGGATACGGTGGAGGCCTGGAAACACTCTGGTCTCTCTGAGGGAAGAGAGGAGGAGCCGAGGGTCCAGTAGTTGGACCCCTCTGCATCCTCCCATTCCTCCTCCTCCTCCTCCTCCTCCCATTCCTTCT